CTGGGCCTACTGGTGCTGTGCCTGGCGGTTCTTCGGGTGCTTCTTCTCGCCGGGAGCCACTCTCTCCACAGGAGCTGCGTGAGTGGTTTGCCCGGCGCTGGAGGCGAGCTGCTGGAGCTGGAGGAGCTGCGGGTACTGGAGTTTCTGTTGCTGCTGAGGGAGCTGGTGCCACGGGTCCCGAAGGTGCTCGTACTGGGCGTACTGGAGCTGCTGGACCTGCGGGTACTTCTGGAGCTGGAGCTGCTGCGGGTGTTGGCGCGGAGGCTACTGCTGTCGGTCCTGGAGGCGGTCCTGCTGGGGGTACTGCTGGTGCTGCTGGGGGTTCTGGAGCTGGAGCTGCTACTGGTGCTGGTGCTGCCACAGGGGGTGCTGGTGCTGTCCCTACTGTGTCTGGGGTCGCCGCGCGGCCTCGGCCGTACTTCGTTCCGCTCCTTCAGCAGGTTCTTGGTCTCCCGTCTTCTACTGGTCCTCCTCCTCCCTTAGAGTGTCCACAGCCTGTCCCGTCGCAGTTACAGTTACAGCCGGCCTCCCCACTGCCTGCTCCGTCTCCCTACACTGGTCCTACTGGAGGTCTTGCTGAGCGTCGTGAGCCTGCGTCTCGCCCTGCGTCGCCTGTCCGTGCTGCTCGCACTAGTGGTCGCGGTTCGCGTCAGCGTCCTCCTCCTGTCCCTGGCACGCACCGGATGTCTCTGCGTCCGTCCACTGCTCCTCTGCGTGCCCCTTTGCCTTCTCCTCCTGAGTCTTCTCTTCCTGCTCTTGCCGACCCGGAGTCGGACTCTCTTCGTGCTGCCAGTCCTACTGTCACGCGTCTCCTTGCTACTGTTGTCACTGACCCTTCCTTTGAGTCCGCTGCTGCGTCTGCCCTAGTTGCTGAGCTCGTCGACTTTGCTGCTCGTTGTCGCCTAGACTACGTCGCCAGTCTTGTTGCTGAGTCTGAGTCTGTCTGTCCTCCGTCCGTCGGGGGTGAGTGTGCCCTTGGCACGGACGTCCTTGAGGACAGGCAGGAGGAGTTCCAGTGCTTGGCCGCTGCTTCATCTCATCTCGTGTCCGTACTGCATACCCCTGAGGGAGACCCGGATGCACTTGACATCCCGACTCCGCGCTCTTACGCGGAGGCGATAGAGGGTCCCTACTCCTCTCAGTGGCAGGCAGCTATGGACGCAGAGATGGCTTCCTGGAAGTCCACAGGCACCTACGTTGACGCTGTTCCCCCTCCTGGGGCGAACATCGTCAGTGGCATGTGGATTTTCAGGGTGAAGCGACCGTCGGGTTCTCCGCCTGTCTTCAAGGCGCGTTACGTGGCTCGTGGCTTCAGTCAGCGGCAGGGAGTTGACTACTTTCAGACCTTCTCTCCCACCCCGAAGATGACCACTCTTCGGGTACTGCTGCACGTAGCTGCTCACCGTGACTACGAGCTACACTCTCTTGACTTCAGCACTGCTTTCTTGCAGGGCAGCCTGCACGAGGAGATCTGGCTGCGTCGCCCACCTGGTTTCACTGGGTCTTTTCCTCCTGGCACCCAGTGGAGCCTACGGCGGCCAGTCTACGGTCTCCGCCAGGCACCGCGTGAGTGGCACGACACACTGAGGACTACACTTGCGGCTCTTGGGTTTGCTCCCTCTACTGCCGACCCGTCGCTGTTTCTGCGCACCGACACTTCTTTGCCGCCGTTCTACATCCTCGTGTACGTCGACGACTTGGTCTTTGCCACAGCTGACACTGCTGGACTCGCCCACGTGAAGTCCGAGCTGCAGAAGAGACACACGTGCACTGACCTGGGTGAACTGCGCAGCTACCTTGGCTTGCAGATCACTCGGGACAGAGCACGCCGCACCATTACCCTGACTCAGTCACACATGGTGCAGCAGGTCCTTCAGCGCTTCGGCTTCACGTACTCCTCGCCTCAGGCCACTCCTCTGCCTACTCGCCACTCGCTCTCAGCTCTGCCTTCGGATGAGTCCGTAGAGTCGAGTGGCCCGTACCCAGAGCTTGTTGGCTGCCTCATGTACCTGATGACCTGCACACGACCTGACCTTGCATACCCTCTTAGCATTCTCGCACGCTATGTTGCTCCTGGGAGACACAGACCGGAGCACATGGCTGCAGCGAAGAGGGTGTTGCGCTACTTGTGCAGTACGTCGGGCATGGGGCTTGTGCTTGGAGGGCAGAGTCCAGTGGTCCTTACTGGGCACGCAGACGCTTCTTGGGCTGACGACCAGGCTACGCAGCGGTCGTCACAGGGTTACACCTTCAGCCTTGGTTCCGGCTCTGTTTCGTGGCGGGCTACTCGCTCGTCTTCTGTTCTCGGCTCCAGTTGTGAGGCTGAGATCTACGCAGGAGCCATGGCTGCACAGGAGCTTCGCTGGCTCACCTACCTGCTGACTGACCTCGGAGAGCCGCCTCGTTCTCCTCCAGTGCTGTACGTAGACAACAAGGCCATGCTGGCCTTGTGTCGGGAGCAGCGACTGGAGCACAGAACGAAGCACATTGCTCTCCGCTACTTTCTTGCCCGTGAGCTGCAGCAGCGTGGTCAGCTGCGTCTTGCGTACGTGGCCTCTGAGGCCAACACTGCTGATATCTTCACCAAGGCGCTTGCGCCTTGTGACCATCAGCGCTTTTGTACTCAGCTGGGCCTTGTGCCTACCTTGCCTCACTTGCTCACCTCTTGACCTTGCTTGTACTGTTATATATATATATACCTGCTCTTGCTTGTCTAGCCTTTTTTATATATACGTACTCCTGCATGTGAACTGGCCTTGTGGCCTTGAACTTGTGCTCGGAATGTGTGGTGACTTTGTGATCCACCCTGAGCTTGCTTTGCTTTGCTTTGCTTGACTGGTCTTGTGACCCCTTGTTCTCCCCCACTTTGCCTATGGGGGTGTGTCAGAACATTATAGCTCATGCATATTGTGTAGGCTATAGTGGGGTAGCCCATAAGGGGTACAACCCAATTAGGGTTAGTACTTGTACCCAATTCATTCATAGTTCATTCATTTCCTCGTTTCTTCTCAATATATGATTATACCTGAATGTTTGCACTTGCTAGGTTGTGATTAGTGTAGTGCAATTGCTTTTATAAACTCTGCATGTGAACTGGCCTTGCGGCTTGTGCTCATAATGTGTGGTGATCTTGAGATCAACCCTGAGTTTTGCTTAGCTTTGTTCTCTTGCTTGACTGGTCTTTTGACCGTCCGTTGTTTTGCTATCCCCCACTTTGCCTATGGGGGTGTGTCAAACTATGTTTGTATGCTCTAGGCTGTGGTGGGGCATACTCTAGTGAGTACAACCCCTTAGGGTTTCCTACTTGTACTCACATTCCTACTCAATGCACACATTCCTGCATAGTTGATTCTGGCACAACCACGCCTGAACCGTCGGACCACCTCGTTGGCTTGGATCGAAGCAAGGCGGACGCTGCGGCTTGAGCAGCATCGGTGAAGGCAGTGCCAACTCGTCGATTGGCGTCGAAATCGTGACGCGTGGCTGGCTTCTGGCCGCGTTCGTCTCTCCGGGGAGTGTTGTCCCGTGGTCGTCGCCTCCGTCATTGCGTGCGACGCCACTAGCCGCGCTCGAGGGTTGTCCCACACTCCCGTGCTGGGATGTCTGTCGTGCTCCTTGTGCGTGTATGCCTTGTGTTTGCGACTGTGCTTGTTGCACCCGTGCGATGTTGTTTTGCATCAACGTGTGTTCTGCCGTTAGCGCCGCAATTTCCTCGGTGATTTCGTGCAGTTGGCGCGTCAGCTGGTCCAGGCGCTCCTGCGTGACTGTCGTGAGGTCGATTTGTTCAGCCATGTCGAATGACGTCGACCGGTCTGGCGCAGTCGTGGCAACACGCGTTTACGCGAGAACGCGAGGGCAGCGGCTCCTAGTACGCTAAGGGGCGTGAGTCCCTTCGAGTGAAAAAAAAAAAAAAAAAAAAAAAAAAGAGGTTTTCTGCCGGTTGCGAAAATGCGTGGTTCGAAAGAAAGTGGCTCTGATAGCCAATTGTTACGGGTGCAATGGAACGAGGTAGCGAGGATTGCACAAGAGTGTCAAACGAGTACAAAGTATGAGCGAAGGCATGAGCGAATACTTATAAGCGAAAACGCAAATGGTAGCGCGGTGCGTGCGAACTAGCTAGTTCGATGCTGGCATCAAGGTTCGGTCTAGTCCCGAGGCGTAGGCTGACTCGGTCAGGCCAGCGATGCATGGTTTGGCAAAATGCAGAGCGCGAAGGTTGGCGAAGCCCTGTTAGTAGTAACGGGCGAACAACGGTTGGTCTTGTACGCGGTGTTGAAGCATGTGGTACGGAATGTCGGAAAAAAACTTTACAATTATGTAAGTTCCACCATGATAGGCAATACCGTACACATTTATGTAACACTTGGAATATCACGTGTTCGCTATGATGGTAACTCGTCAATCACAGTACAGGCCGCTGCCTGCGCTAGCACAAACATGCGACGCGTAACAGATATGACGTGGAACAGATTAGACGCGCTCATCGCGCAGGTGGTTTCCCTCCCAAAACTCAAACTTTCCAGGCAAGGCAACCAATCGGGGAGTAAGGGCGTGGTGCATCAGAGGCGCACTTTTGCCAAGTTTCGAACTTCTAGAGAGGTTCTATACCTTACGCTGCTTTTTGAAAAGGCTACCTTACGGTGTAAAACGGTTTAATTTTGAACTTCGCGGAAGAGGGCCGAAAGGCACCACGCCTGTGAATCTTGCATCCGTTTTGCCTAAATTCCTCCCTGCGATGGTGACTTCGCTTACTACGTAGATCTTGTAGCGGAAGAATTAGTGGCTGAATCTAGCGGAGCTACTTGCCGTGAAATCATTCCCAATGGTCGGTCGTCGTTGCGTACACTGATGTTTAAAACCCAGCAAAATAGCAGCGATGGCCCTCAGTTTCTGCTGTTGTCGAGTGTTTTTTCTCAGATGAATAACAACTTGAGTGGTAGCAAAGCAGTATAATTCGCGTAATCTCCTTCCCATACCCCCTCTGCATTTCACGTCCTCAGATGAAATCGTCGCGGGTGTTGCTCGGCTTGGTCGCGGCTTACATACTGCTCGCGCTGCTGCCTTGCTCGGCTCATTCTGCTTGGTTCACTCATTCGTCGACAGCAGCGGCGGCCGCAGAGTCAGGGAGGGCGGCAGCGGAGGAGGAGGAGGTGCGGAGCCCCATCCCGCTGGCGAGAACACTGGCGGAGGCGTTCGATGCACCCAACGGTAGGGGTGCCGCGTTCCGTGTCGTTGGTGTGCAGACGCGTGCGGTGGGAGTGCGTGGGGTGCTACGCTCCCCGCGATGCTTCTTACCAAAGATAATAGCTCCCCTACCATTATCCCCTTGCCTTCTGTATCTCCGTTTTCTGGTAGGACTGTTATCTGGTGACCAGATAAGTCGCAACCTGCTGTCGCTTTCTCGCTTTCGTTCCAACCGTTGCGTTTTCCTCTGTCATCTGTATCAAGATTACGGAGTTATTCTCACTACTTCGCGCGTCGACTCACGCATCAACTCGCGCATCGACTCGCACGGCCACTCGCACTTCCATTCGCACACGCCATTCGCACGTCCCCTTACGTGTGCTGCCCTTCCACGCGCCCACAGGAGCCGTCAGGCGCATGTTAGACGGCGTTCAGCTGGCCGCGACGAGCCCCGAGGAGAGCGACCTCCTGGTCATCGGCGGCGGACCGGGCGGGTACGCGGCGGCCATCAGAGCAGCGCAGCTGGGCATGAAGGTCACGTGCGTGGACAAACACGGCTCGCTGGGTGGCACGTGCGTGAACGTGGGGTGCGTTCCATCCAAGGTACGAGAACAAGCGTTGATACGGGCAAGGATTGTCTATCGGGCAGTGATTCGTGGGAGCTTTGACGCGCGGATGAATGCGGCAGTGCCTCGCCTTTTTCCCTCTTGCCTCCATCAGCCCTTTTTTCCACCGCTAAAGGCATCAGCGAGCTGTCCCTTGCATCCAGGTATCCATACTCCCATACTCCTATACTCCATACTCCCATACTCTCATACTCCCATCTCCCATGCTCCCATGCTCCCATGCTCCCATGCACTCATATGCACCGACGCTCCCATGCACCCATGCTCCCATGCACCCATGCTCCCATGCTCCCATGCTCCCATACTCCCATGCTCCCATGCTCCCATGCTCCCATGCTCCCATGCTCCCATGCACCCATATGCACCCACGCTCCCATGCACCCATGCTCCCACGCACCCACGCACCCAAGCACCCCCATGCACCCATGCTCCCGTGCACCCATGCTCTCATGCACCCATGCACCCATGCTATGCACCCATGCTCCCACGCGCCCATGCACCCATGCACCCCTGCTCCTTGCTCCCATGCACCCATGCTCCCATGCTCCCATGCTCCTATGCTCCCATGCACCCATGCACCCATGCTCCCATGCTCCCATGCACCCATGCTCCCTGCTCCCATGCTCCCATCCACCCATGCACCCATGCTCCCATGCTCCCGTGCTCCTTGCTCCCATGCACCCATGCTCCCTGCTCCCATGCTCCCATGCACCCATGCACCCATGCACCCATGCTCCCTGCTCCCATGCACACATGCTCCCATGCTCTCTGCTCCCATGCACACATGCTCCCATGCACCCATACACCCATGCTCCCATGCACCCATCATTGCTCCCTGCTCCCTTGCACCCATGCAGCCATGCTCCCGTGTAACCATGGTCGCATGCTCTCATGCTTCCATGCTCCCATGCATTCAGGCCTTCCTCTCATGCACCTATCCAACATGCACTCGTCGACGGATCTCCCCATCGCTTCCCTCTCTCCCAACTCTCCGATATTCCAGCTTCCTAACCCCCCTTTCCCTTCCCAATCACCAAGAGACAGAGCACTTTCTCTCTCTCTGCCTTCACCACGTTACCAAGAGACAGAGCACTTTCTCTCTCTCTGCCTTCACCACGTTTTCTTCTTCCTCTCCATCTCCCCCCCTCCCTGCAACTAGGCACTGCTGGAGTCGACTCACATGTACGACGAGGCGCAGCACTCCTTGGCGTCACACGGCGTGAAGGTGGCGGGCGTGGAGGTGGACCTGCCCGCCATGATGGCGCAGAAGAGCAGCGCCGTCGCCGCACTCTCCAAGAAAATCGAGGGGCTGCTCAAGAAGAACAAGGTCACTTACGTCAAGGGCCATGGCAAGATTGTGGGACCACACCAGGTCGCCGTCTCCCTGCTGGATTCTCCGGGGGAGACCAGGCTCATCAACGCGAGGAACATCATCATCGCCACGGGGTCGGACGTGCAGGCGCTGCCGGACGTGCAGATCGATGAGACGAAGATCGTGTCGTCCACCGGCGCGCTCAGCCTGCCCTCCGTGCCCAAGAAGCTCGTGGTGCTGGGCGGCGGGGCCATCGGGCTGGAGCTGGGGTCGGTGTGGGGGCGGCTGGGCGCGGAGGTGACGGTGGTGGAGCTCACAGACAGCATAGGCGGCAACATGGACCGCGAGATCCGCCGCACCTTGCAGCGCGTGCTGGAGAAGCAGGGCTTTAAGTTCATGCTGGCCACGAAAGTGGTGTCCGCGGATGCGTCGGGGAGCGGCGTGGTGCTGCAGGTGGAGCCCGCCAGGGGCGGGCAGCGCAGCCAGGTAGAGGCGGACGTGGTGCTGGTGGCCACGGGGCGCGTGCCGTACACCGACGGGCTGGGGCTGGAGGCAGTGGGTGTGAGGAGGGACAAGGCGGGGCGCATCCAGGTGGACGGCCGGTTCCAGTCGTCCGTGCCAAGCGTGTTTGCCATCGGGGACGTCATTCCCGGGCCCATGCTGGCTCACAAGGCCGAGGCGGATGGGATCGCGTGCGTGGAGAAATTGGCAGGGAAGAATGGGTATGTGAATTATGGCACAGTGCCCTGGATCATCTACACGCACCCAGAGGTGGCCATGGTGGGCAGGACGGAGGAGGAGTTGAAGCAGTCGGGTGTAGCATACCGCGTGGGAAAGTTCCCCTTCACGGCGAACAGTCGAGCACGCACGACTGGGGAGACGGAGGGGATGGTGAAGATGATAGCAGAGAAGGCGACGGATAGAGTGGTGGGCGTGCACATCGTGGGGCCGAGTGCGGGCGAGCTGATCATGGAGTGCGTGGTGGGCATTGAGTATGGCGCGAGCAGTGAGGACATTGCACGCATGAGCCACGGCCACCCCACGCTCAGTGAGGCGGTGAAGGAGGCTGCACTTGCCGCGTACAGCAAGCCCATCCACATGTGATGCAGCTTGCAAGTGTCCCTCCCATGTGTGAGGCATGTGTGACATGCACGTGCATTCAGGGTAAAGCCCTCATTATGGCAGGGGTTGCAGCAGCATTCACTGTGTGTACAAGTACCGTAGTTGAGTGTGTTTCCTGTTGGTGCATATTGTACATATTTGTTCATGAGAGTTGCCCTACAGGCACTGATTGGCTGATTGTTTACTAGTTTGGACACTACCTGCGCTTGTATCAAGCTTCTTTGCTTCTCTTTCATCAACATGCAATCTTAGCATGCCCATGAAAGCTCCAAGCTTGCTTGCTTTAATTTTCGTTCTGCTACTAACAACCACGTGAGTCAAACAAGAATCAGGCCTACAGTAAGCTCAAATGCTGGTACGTAGCAACCTGCCTACCAGTAACAAGTGAACCTTTTCATTTCAAGGCACTTGGAATGCCCCTGTTCCGTCAGCAAGCATAGTGACAGAAATAACGTGGACCACGATGTACGTGGTGGCGGCTGATCATGTGCCGCCACTCTGGAGGTAGAGTGGCTGATCATGAGGAGGAAGGAGAGGTAGCTGTGGACGAGCACCTATTGGCGGCCCATGAGAGGGAGCCGACACCTGCAGTCCCTCCCATCTAGCCCATCTCACCACCCCCACGTCGCTTCAGCAGACCCAACAAACAGGTGTCATCCGTACGGTTACCTGCAATAACCATGACGGCTGACGATAACGTCAACCCGTACAACATGGCATTCCTTGCTAAGGATGATTGCGACACAAGCAGCAACAATGACGATGTGGAGGACCTGGATGAGTATGAGGAGGATGAAGGTGCTTGGGGAGGCGTCATCATCACCTGGCAACCCTTACCGAACATCAAGGAGTGGAAGGCTTCTATGAAATACGAGATTGCGAGCCTTGATGAGCAAGGCACGTGGACGTTGGCTGAGCTACCGAAGGGGTGCAAGGCCGGCTGGCGTCAAGTGGCTGCTGAAGAAGAAACTGCTCCCTGATGGTGTTAGAATAAGCAGGAATGAATGATTGGACTAGGCATCTGGTGAGTACAAGTAGGGGAAACCTAACCCTAAAGTGTTGTACTCACTAAGGAGTGACCCTACTGTAGCCTAGAGATACAATTGTGATTTGACACACCCCCATAGGCAAAGTAGGGGATAGCAAACACAACAAGCGGTCACAAGACCAGTCTGTAGAAGAGAACACAGCTCAGGGTGGATCACAAGGTCACCACGCATTCTGAGCACAAGCAAGTGGCCACAAGGCCAGTTCACATGCAGAGGTATATAGTAGCAAGGCAGTACACTGAGCACAACCTAGCAAGAGAAGACATGCAGGTATAAGATATATAGCAGTGTACAACAAGAGCAAGCCAAGCAACCAGCAGGTGAGGCAGAGTGGGCACAAGCCCAAGAGCAGTGCAGAAACGGTGATGATCACCAGACCCAAGGGCCTTGGTGAAGACATCAGCAGTGTTGGCCCAAGAGGCCACGTAAGCAAGGCGCAGCTGACCACGCTGCTGCAGCTCACGCGCAAGGAAGTAGCGAAGAGCAATGTTCTTCGTTCTGTGCTCCAGTCTCTGCTCGCGACACAAGGCAAGCATTGCCTTGTTGTCGACGTACAGAACTGGAGGAGAACGAGGCCGCTCCCCCAAGTCGGTCAGCAGGTAGGTCAGCCAGCGTGGCTCCTGTGCAGCCATGGCCCCAGCGTAGATCTCGGCCTCACAGCTGGAACCAAGCACAGAAGAAGAACGAGTGGACCTCCACGAGACAGAACCAGAGCCAAGACTGAAGGTGTAACCCTGTGACGAACGCTGAGTCGTCTGGTCGTCGGCCCAAGAAGCGTCAGAGTGTCCTGTGAGGACCACCGAACCCCGTCCTCCAAGCACGAGCCCCATGCCCGATGTGATGCACAAGTAACGCAGTACCCTCTTCGCAGCATCAAAATGCACCTTTCGGTGTCTACCGGGTGCCACGTAGCGAGCCAGGAGGCTGAGAGGGTACGCGAGGTCAGGTCGTGTGCACGTCATCAGGTACATGAGGCAACCCACAAGCTCTGGGTACGGATCACTCGGCTCTACGGACTCGTCCGAAGGTGGAGCTGAGAGCGAGTGGCCGGTAGAGAGAGGAGTGGGCTGTGGCGAGGACCACGTGAAGCGGAAACGCTGAAGGACCTGGTGCACCATGTGTGACTGAGTCAGGGTGATGGTGCGCCGTGCTCTGTCCCGGGTGATCTGCAAGCCAAGATAGCTCCACAGCTCACCCAGGTCAGTGCAGGTGTGTCTCTTGTGCAGCTCCGCCTTCACTAGGGTCAGTGCCTCAGTGTCAGCAGTAGCAAAAAACAAGTTGTCGACGTACACGAGGATGTAGAACGGCGGCAGAGTAGTGTCGGTGCGTAGAAACAGCGACGGGTCAGCCATCGAAGGAGCAAACCCAAGAGCCACAAGTGTCGTCCTCAGTGTGTCGTGCCACTCGCGAGGCGCCTGACGCAGGCCGTACACTGGTCGCCGTAGGCTCCACTGGGTACCCTTAGGAAACGACCCAGTGAAGCCCTGTGGACGGCGCAACCAGATGGCCTCTTGAAGGCTACCCTGCAAGAAAGCTGTCGAGAAGTCAAGGGAGTGCAGCTCGTAGTCACGCTGAGCTGCAACGTGTAGCAACACCCGAAGAGTGGTCATCTTCGGGGTGGGGGAGAAGGTCTGAAAGAAGTCGACCCCCTCACGCTGACTGAAGCCTCGAGCAACGTAACGTGCCTTGAAGGCAGGCCGAGAACCCGGCGGCCGCTTCACCCTGAAAATCCACATGCCACTGACGATGTTCGCCCCAGGTGGGGGAACCTCGTCGACGTAGGTGCCTATAGACTTCCAGGAAGCCATCTTTGCGTCCATGGCTGTCTGCCACTGAGAGGAGTACTCACCCGAAATTGCCTCCCTGTAGGAGCGCGGGGTGGGGATGTCAAGTGCATCCGGGTCTCCCTCAGGGGCAAGCAGCATGGTCGCGTGATGGGGTGAAGCGGTAGCAAGGCACTCCAGCTCCTCCTGTCTGTCCTCAAGAACGTCACAGCCAAGGGCAATACAGCCAAGAGCAGTCTCACCCCCGACGGACGGAGGACAGGCAGGGACAGGGTCAGAGACAAGACTTGCAAGGTAGTCTAGGCGGTACACAGCAGCAAAGTCAACGAGCTCAGGTACTAGGGCAGACGCAGCAGGAGACGAGAACGTAGGGTCCGTCACAACCGTAGCAAGAAGGCGAGTAACAGTCGGACTGGACGCACGAGCAAGGTCAGACGGAGGGTCAGCAACGCCAGGCTGAGAGGACGCAGGAGGTATCGTAGTACAACACGCTGAGGAACAGAGGAAGGACGGAGTGTCATATCGTGAGTGCCGGGGACAGCCGGAGCACGCGGACGACGAACACGAGGAACACGAGCACGGACAGTAGCTCTAGGCTCAGGCTCAAGGTCAAAGCTAGACTCAGGCTCTCGACGCTCAAGGTTGGAAGCACGAGTCTCAGGCTCTCGACGCTCAGTCAGGGACTCTGACACCGAAGTGTAAGGAGCAGGATCAGGCAGTGGGGAGTGTGGTAGCAGCGGTGGCTGTGACTGGTCCGCTGGCGGACACAGCAACGGAGGAGTAGTACCTGCCACAGGGAAGCCAGTAGCACCTGGCGGAAGACTGAGAAGGTGGCGAAGAGCACCAGTAGCTCCCGTACCTCCAGCACGAGCAGCTCCTCCAGTACCCCCAGCAACACCTCCAGCACCAGTAGCACCAGCACCTCCACCACCACGAGCTCCGACAGCGCCAGCACCTCGAGCACCAGTAGTACCTCTAGCACCTCCAGTGCCTCCAGCTCCAGCTCCAGCGCCTCCAGCACCAGTAGTACCTCTAGTACCTCCCGTGCCAGCAGCTCCAGTAGCACCTCCAGCACCTCCAGCACCAGCAGCACCACCTGCTCCGGCAGCTCCAGCACCTCCAGTACAAACACCTCCGGGACCAGTAGCTCCAGCACCTCCAGTACCTCCAGCACCAGCACCTCCAGGGTCAGCACCTCCAGCACCAGCAGCAGCTCTAGTACCCCCAGCACCAGCAGCACCTCCAGCACCAGCAGTACCTCTAGTACCTCCAGTAGTACCTCCAGCACCTCCAGCACCAGCAGCACCTCCTGGACTAGTAGCTCCAGCACCAGCCGGACCGTACCCTCCACCACCACGACTGCCTCGCCGAACGACCCACGCACGAATCGCCTGCGGCGAGAGCGTCTCAAGTAGAGCAGGCTGCGGTGGCTGTCCAGCTCCAGTACCTCCAGTAGTGGTAGCTGTAGCACCTCCAGCACCAGAAGCACCTCTAGTACCTCCAGCTCCAGCACCTCCAGCACCAGCAGCAGCTCCAGTACCTCCAGTAGTACCTCCAGGCCTAGTAGCTCCAGTACCTCCAGGTCCAGGACCTCCAGAAGGAATCGCAGCACCCCCAAAGTCAGCACCCGAAGTCTCAGTACCCCCAGGCTCAGTACCCTCAGGCTCAGTACCCTCAGTCCCAGCACCCGCAGGCTCAGTGCCCTCAGTCTCAGCACCCGCAGGCTCAGTACTCTCAGTCCCAGCACCCGCAGGCTCAGTACCCTCAGTCCCAACACCCGCAGGCTCAGTACCCTCAGTCCTAGCACCCGCAGGCTCAGGACCCTCAGTCTCAGCTCCAGTGTCCACTGCAGAAGGCTGCAGAGGCGGGAAACCGGGGGGGGTAGCCAAACGAGGAGAGCAGTCACCCCCAGACGTACCACTCCCAGGCCCAGCTCCAGCAGCCTCAGCTCCAGAGTCCACAGCAGCAGGCTGCGGAGGTGGTGAAGACGGCCGAGGCGGGAAACCCGGGGGGTTCTCCAAGCGAGGAGTGCGGCGAGTGGTCGCCGTGTCGTCGGCGGCGGTGTCACCCCCCTCAGCTGGGTCAGAGGAGTCAGAAGAGATCTCCACTGGCTCATCCAAGGGGGGTGGGTCTACCTGAGACACACCTG